CAAACGTTCCTTAAAACGTTTTTTTAATTATATATTTAATCTTAATCATATTTTATAATTAACAAATGTATTCAATTATATTTAATTAATTTATTCAATTCTATTTAATAAAAGTATTTTTAAATTTTAATTTGTTTTATATTATTTGCCCCTCCCCCTGTTTTACTATATTATTCGTGCATCATTTCGCCCCGCCTATTTAGGTATTACTAATCTCCGCCTAATAATCTATATAAGGCTTATGTTTTTATATTTTGAATTTAGTTGAAATGGGTAATTCTAATGTTACACCAGCTGAACCGGTTGTTAAACCAAGGTATATTTCTTATGATGAAAGATTGAGTACGTATAGTAAAGATTGGAATAAACAATGTAATAGGACATCTGAATCTCTTGCTGAAGCTGGTTTCTATATGGTTGGGTATTATGATTGCGTAAAATGTTTTAGTTGTAGAGGTACACTAAGATCTTTTTCTCGGGACATCACTAAAGATATATGGACAGAGCATGCCTTATGGTTTCCGTGGTGTGAATTTGTTATAATTATAAAAGGAGAAGAGTTTATTGATCAAGTGATTAGAGAAAACAAATATGGGATACAAAGACCTTTATTATCAAATCGTGATGATATACTACATGAATGGATGTTATCGGGCCTTGCTTGGGGGGCATTAAAACGGCGTGTCACATCATACCCAGAGTTGTTAAATGTTATGATTTTAAGATACAATGAAAAGAAAGAACCATTTANGTTAAATGTTATGATTTTAAGATACAATGAAAAGAAAGAACCATTTAAAGATCAGATAGAATTTAATAAATTTCTTGTTATTTATAGAAGAACAAATAACATGGACGCTACTGAAAAGAAGACAACTACGCCTATTGCAAAGAGTGAAGAACTGACGTGTAAAGTATGTATGGTTCACGAGCTTGGAATCTCATTTACACCGTGCGGTCATATGATTTGTACTCTGTGTTCAAAACAATTAAGCGATTGCCCAATATGTCGCAATAAAATACAATTTACACAACAACTATATTTTTCATA